ACTCGAATAAAAATAAGCGTGTTGTAAAATGTCTCTTCGTTCCCTCGCTGCTGTCATCACATATCTTTTCAATTTTTTTTTTTTTTTTTTTTTTTTTCACGAAAATTCTTTGGCGATATTTCTTATGGCTTCCTTTGTTTCAAGCATTGCCTCAAGTGGATCCTTAGAGTGATCTTGTTTATTCATTTTTTTTACTTTTGAATGTTAGTGTAGGGAAGGAAAGAGGCATTCTCATACCCAAGCCTTCTCACCTTCTTAACAAAATATCGAAGGAATTGACCTTGCATTTCTCGCTGAGAGGGTTCTGAGAACGAGAGTGTAATTTATGATTTTTACTGTGTGATTTTTTTGGTAGTTTTTAGTCACTATATTTCCTCCAGAACTGACGTTGTATTGATACCCAGGTGACCCTTACACTCGTGCCCTCTTCCCTTATCGCCTCTCCCTTATTACCCTCTCGCAAACAGGTGACATACTGACATATCTTCTCTGCAAGTTACTCCCGTGTAACCTCGGGGACAATTGCAGGTGAATCCAGCGATGCCATCCCTACAGGTGGCGCCATTCAAACAGGGATTGCTTGCACATTCATCTATGTCTAATTCGATTCGCAAACATGCAATTATGCTTTACACATCAAACAGATATACAGCTACTTTAAAAAAGGTTAAAGTGGCAAACGGCGATAGGTTATAAGCGATAGGGGAAGGGTCGTTCCAAAATACACGAATAGCTGGAATGTTTAGTCTTCTTTATTATTATCATTATGCTTGTTAAGAACACAGACGTTATTTTTGAGATATTTATTGTCGTTTTAGTAGTCGAAACCATTTAAAAATTCTTTATTATTCGTCATTAGACGTATGCCTACAATTCCTTTCGGGAATGAAATCTCCAATCACTGATCGTCATTCGCTGTTCTCATCTTCAACCTTTTTCACCAAATAACTGCATGTATAAATGATAAGAGAGGAAAAAAGAAAGAGATACAGGCATATATAGATAGAACTCTCAAAAATCTGCCTGGCTAATAATGTACCATGGAAGGAGAGAATTAAAGAAAATGTCAGCTATGGCGCGACGTTTGTTTCAAAACTATTTTGTTCTCCAATATAACAAATGATATCGTGATACACTTTTACTACTGTGGTAGACAGTTTTCATCGACACAAAGGATTATCTCTGTTTACTCCATTGACATACACTTTTGCCGTGATATCTATTTTCGCCGTGATGTACGATTTTACCCGTATTGTACAATTTTACCCTTGATATACAATTTTACCCATGATATACCATTCATTCATTAATGAAACCTTTCATGATTTGGATTATAGTTGTGATTACGTGATTTTTACAGACGAATATCTTGTTGGAAATACTTACTGTTTTCACAGTTTGTACCATTAAATCCTGCAGCGCAGTCGCAGTGGTAGCCATTAGTCTTATCAATACATTTTCCACTGTTTTGGCAGGGATTGCTTGCACACTCGTCGATGTCTATGAACAAATTCCAAAGTACAATAAGCAATTAATGGAAGTAATTAAGTTAAATATCGTGATTTGTTAAAGGCGAGCAAAGAATTATTTGGCGATTCCGAAGACAGAAGCTAATAATTGCTTACGAGATACTAACAAATCAAGATATTTTCTTATAACCGAGTTTAATAATTGTTTGATCATTATTTAAGACAATTTTTCGGTGTTTTTTTTGTTTTTTTCGGTTTGGCTATTCGTACTGTTTATCAAACATACGAACTCAGCCATGTTGAAAAAATGCACCGTTATGGCGCAGGAGAAGAGTATCATTTGCAGCAAAACAGCTATGCAACAAAATGCGAATGCCCAGAATACTATTCGAGAATATTATACTGAGAAAACATTATAGAAAGTGCTTTGTATGTGGTTATATTTACTCGTTGTTTTTGTTAAACACTCACTCGCTCGAAGACTCGCTCGTTCGTGTTTTACACAAACAACTCGTGAATATAACCCCATACGCCGC